ATATGAACTTTGCGTCTCATTATGAAATGCAAAATATCGGTCAGACAGTTAATCAATCAACACAACCAACCAAGCGATTAATGGCTGTCATTGCCGATGATATAACTTCATTGCGTGTTGTTAACAGGAGTATGGTTGATCAGCTTGAACAACTACAATGTGAAAACTTGAGGGACAATTTGATGTTTTTTGGTATCGAGGAGGAGGAGGGCGAAGACTGTATTGATAGCATTAGAAGCATATGTGCTTTATCTCTGGAAATTCGAGAACCAATCGAAATAGCATCTGCCTCTAGGATGGGAAAGAAATTCGTGAGCAAGTCTACTCGGAATGTGCGTAAGCCGCGCCCCATAATTGTCAAATTTATAAAACGTCAACAAAGGGACACTGTACGTCAAAACTCTCGAAAACTAAAAGAGTCAACCATTTCAATTTCTGAACACTTTCCGAAAGCTATATATGAAAAACGTAAACTATTATTTCCTGTGTATAAAAAAGCAAAGGAGGCAGGTAAACGAGTTTCGTTTAATAAAGACAAACTTTTTATTGATGGTGTGCAGACTGTGGTTAAATCAAACGAGCTAGTCAAAATTACACGTCGTGATCAGTCAGGTGATAGAATGTCGGATACATCGTCGGGTCCAGGGTTTTCAGTGGCCGAAAAAAACACCGAGCGTTTCAGGTATAAAACCTAGTAAATCTTCAGTGAGTGATGGCTCGTCTAGTGGATCCCGCTTTGAAGTGTTAGCAGATATGCACACAGGTCCAGACTAGGACACATCGAGAAGCATCTCCTTTATTAACTTTTTGTATTGGAACATTAATGGTGGTTTACATGATAAACTTAATGAGCCAAATTTTTTATCTTACATTAAAACATATGATATTGCTATTTTGTCTGAGTGTTGGATCGATAAGTCATTTGATGATATTGTAGATGGTTATATTTGTAAGCCAGTCCCATTACTAAAAAGTAAATATAAACAAGGCGGTGGACTATATTTGTTAATAAAAAACTGTTTTGCAAAGTATGTTGAAGTTGTTGATATTCAGAACGATACAATTATATGGCTCAAGTTGTCAAAGGATATATCAACTTGTGGGTTTGATTATTTTATTGGATGTGTATATTTGCCTCCTGCCTATTCAAATTATTATAAAATGTATAATTGTGATTTATTCTATGATTTGTTAAATTCTGTTGAAAAATATTCATCAGAAACGTCAAGAGTATTTTTACTAGGTGATATGAACGCAAGAACTGCTATAGTTAATGATTTTATAATAAATGACAATGTATGTGGCCCAATTTTTGATAGTTTCAACCATATTTTTGGGTATTTAAGTGACACAAATCTACCAGTAAGAAGAAATCCAGATCAAAGTACTAATGAGTTCGGGTTAAAATTGTTAAATCTGTGTAGAAGCACTGGTCTACGTATTTTGAACGGTCGGCATAAGGATGGCTTAGCTAATGACTATACATTTTGTGGTTCCCGGGGAATGAGTGTTGTGGACTACTTATTGGCTCCATATGACTTTTTACACATTATAGACCAGTTTATTGTTTGTAACTTCACTTCTTTTAGTGACCACGCGCCTTTACATGTTCGCTTGCGGTGCATACTGCACGATTCACAAGAGCCCGAGCGTAATAGTGATACGTCAAACAACTCATATAATAGTTACCGATGGAAGGAAGAGATAAAAGATCAGTGTTATGAGTCTTTAACTTTAAACAGTGGTTCACTTAGCCAGATAGTATTTTCTGATATTGAAAAATCCCAAGATGGTATTGACAATTATGTTGAATCGTTTACTTCCAATTTGATGGGCATTATTTCACCATTCTTTTGTAACTCACATAATTCAAATAATACTTGTGACCGTACCCGTAGTAAGACGACCCGATATAAAGATGACAAACCATGGTTTAACTACGAGTGCAAAAGACTTCGATCTATCTATATTAGTTCTTTGTATACATTTAATAGAGACAAAAATGTTGAAAATCATCAAATATTAATTATGTCTAAAAGACAATACAAGCGTTTAGAAAATAAACTTAAACGAAAATATAAGCGTCAAGAGGGTGATATGATAGCTACATTGCGTAAAAGCGACCCAAAGAAATATTATAAACTGTTTCAAAAGAAGAGAGCCAAAACTTCTGATGTGTCACTTTCAGAATTCTTCGAACATTTTAGAAATTTGGTCACAAATGATGGTATTAATGTGACAGTCGATACTCCAGAGACCGTTTCCGACACAACATATGATGAACTTGATCAAACTATTACACAAGATGAAATTTTGAAGTGTATTTCTAATCATAAACGTGGTAAAAGTCATGGTATTGATGGTACATTTAACGAGTTATTCATTGAATTTAAGGATATTCTGCTACCATTCCTGGAGGAAATATTCAATAAGATATTAGCATCAGGACATTTTCCGAAATCTTGGGCACTCGCAGTGTTAATTCCTGTTTTTAAAAAAGGCGACTCGTCCGATCCAGCGAACTATCGTGGAATCAGTTTAGTCAGTAATTTAGCGAAACTGTTTACATCTATTATAAATTCAAGACTAATAAAATGGTCTGAGAATAATGATATTATTACAGATGCGCAATTTGGATTTCGCCCGGGTAGCAGCACTGTTGATGCAATTTATTCTTTGTTGACACTCGTTCAGAAAGCACTTTTCAAGAAAAAAACGTTTGTATTGCTGTTTCGTTGACTACAAACAGGCATTTGACTCCGTTACCAGACTTAACTTATGGTTGAAACTATCAAGAGTTGGTATAACAGGCAAATTACTGTCTGTTTTAAAATCAATGTATTCTACAGTAAAAGTATGTGTGAAAGTTGATGGTTTTTATTCTGAGCAGTTTACAAGTTCAGTTGGTCTTATGCAAGGGGAAGTTCTTTCTCCTATACTATTTTCGTTATATGTAAATGACTTTGAAATGGAATTTCTACGTAATAGTAATATACCATATGAAGTGCAAGACTTTTCATTGTTTTTACTTATGTATGCTGATGATATGATTTTATTTTCTGATTCAGTTATTGGCTTGCAAGATATGTTAGACACATTATTAGTATATACTTGTAAATGGGGTTTGACTGTAAATATTGCCAAAACAAAAATTATGGTATTTAGAAACGGAGGTTTTGTAAAAGACGAAGAAATTTGGTATTATGATGGCAATACTATTGACATAGTGGATGAATTTTGTTACCTTGGTGTACTGTTAAATTTTAACGGTAAATTTGTTAAAGCTCAAAAACATTTAGCTGAGCAAAGTAGAAAAGCTGTTTTTGGTTTAAAGTCGAAGGTTTCGTCATTGTATTTGAATGTTTTTACATATTTGAATTTATTTCATACTTACATTAGCAGTATTTTATGTTATGGTTGTGAAATATGGGGCTTCCATAAAGCTCCAAATATTGAAAAAATACAACTTGATTTTTGCAAAAACATATTAGGTGTCAAACAATTTACAACAAATGTTATGGTTTATTTTGAATTGGGTAGATATCCTTTGATATATTTTAGAATGTACAAAATAGTGAAGTACTGGTTAAAATTGTTATCCACAAGCAACTGTATTCTTAAAAACTGCTACAGGGAACAACTGTATAATTTCTGTAATATTAGAAGCAGTTGGATTTATCAACTACAACAATTATTATTTAACTTAGGTTTAAATGAGATCTGGTATAACCAAGACAATTTGATTATTGATACAAATTTATTATTATTTGTAAAAACAAGGATATATGATCAAGCAAAACAGACTTTGAATGATCAACTGAACGTTTCATCTAAGTGTTATTTATATAAATATATTGTCAATAATGTATGTTTACAGAATTATCTAACCAAACATATGAATTTTAGAGTGTATTTAACTCGCCTTAGATTGTCATCTCATAATTTGTTTGTTGAAGTAGGCCGTTATCATGGAGTAAATAGGTTAGATAGAAAGTGTACTCTTTGTACTTTGAATATCACTGAAGATGAATTCCATTTTGTTTTACAATGTGAATGCTATAGAGACTTAAGGAGACAGTTTATTAAACCTTATTATTATAGACGTCCATCGTCGTTCAAATTAGTGCAACTTCTCAGCACTGAAAATGTAAAAGATTTGCGTAATTTGTGTAAATTCTTGTTTAATGCATTTAATCATAGGACCAAACTGTTATTGGTCAATACTTGATATTTATTTGCTTCTCTGATGTATTATGTCATGTTGTTTTATAGAAATGTATTTGTATTTATTGAACTGATAAGCATAATGTGCTTAAAGTAATAAAGAATTGAATTGAATTGAATTGAATTGAATCGGAATTGAATTGAATGACAAGTTCGTCAAACTGGACAGTATGCAAAATTTCATTCGATCAATCAATCAGTCAATCAACACAACCAGCCAAGCCAATCATCGATTAATGAATATAAAATTCGTCATACTTGACAGTATGCAAAATTCCAATCAACCTATCAATCGATTATATCAATCAACACAACTAACCTAGCCAATCATCGATTAATGATACTTAAATTTGACAATATGCGAAATTTCAATCAATCAATCAATTAACCATCCAAACCATGAAAACCAACCACCAACCAACTGAAAGTTCCTATAAGACCAGGAGAAAGACCTCCACTAACAATTGTTTGTTAAAAACAAATGATCTTTAATCTTTTTTATTTTCTTCCGCAGCTCCGGTTAGATAGGTTGCCTATAAATTAATGTAATCACTGTAGGAAATGTTTTTAATGCAACATTTTTGGTGACAACTCTGCGGAGTAAGTTTTGGATTGACCAAACATATACATGGAAGATCTTCTTAGTCGGGTCTTGCACCTCCTTTCCAAAAATAAGGGCTTATATTCTCAATATGACTTTTTAACACTAAAGACTATAACAAAGAACTTGCTCATGTGTTACATTATGAGACCAACTACAATCAAAGAGCAACAAGTCATTGAATGGTCTTTAAAGGCATCGAAATCACAAATGTAAAAATATTATCGTATATGGATGCAACCAGTAAAGCAGCTTCAATAATAAAGAAAATATGAATACAATATATTTTAGATTTTAGATTAGTTCTCGTGATTTAAGGCAACAATGGTTGAATTATATATTTCGACTTCAGTATCCGAATTGTTTTTATTCTTTTGGTTGCACAACACCTTTAGATAGAATGGGACCTCCTTTATGTAAATATAGGACCGGCCAGACTACATATTCTACACTGGTGCCTGATCTGGTATATTCCCTATAGAATTGTTTATCAAATATTTGTACAGGTTCAAAATCTATCACCATAGGCGGGTTTTGAACTGCTGCGAAGTAACAAATCTTCACACAATTTTCTATATATTGTAGACTGAAGTCCTTATACTGAGCTACTGTTTTACATGTTGATGTACTACTAGTTATTTTCTGAAAAGTAAGAAATAAGGCAATTGAAATTACAGATTACCAATACAACGGGAACGAATCGATTTTCTATATAGATTATACTCAAACTAATCTTCTCATTTCCCTACAAGGAATTTTATTTATTACAAAATCAGAAGCCAACAAGAGCTTCTATTGCTTACCTGGTAACTTATACCTAATGTCAATAGTATGCACTTTCAAAGTATATATAAGCTTATCATCCTTCTTTAGTTGGGTAATTGATGGCTTTTCTTTCCATGAACATTTTACAGAATTTCTTATTAATTGTATTTATCAAAAATGGCACTATACAGTTTCCTAGCTGATCATGATTCTTTAAGAGCGATATTAATCTTAAAAATACTATAAGCTACAAAGTAATGATACATTTCTAGACTTTTCAAATATTTTATAGCAATTTTTTGTTTTTTATAATTATATATGTTAATAAATAAAATGTGTGGGTGTAGGTCAATGATCAGAAACCCAACAAAACTACAAAGACATCTAGTGGGCAATGTAGTCTTCAACAATAGAAAGGTTGTAATACAATATCACCAGCTTTAAATTAAATTGTCCCACGTCTATATGTTCGCGGGTTTGCTTGATAGAGATGATGGAATCATTTTTTTTGTTAAAAGGTATCTCAAAATTTGCTGTATACCTATTTTTTTAAAGACCAAGGTCATAATGCGAGCTAATTATTTTTATTTATTGCATAAAAATAACAGTTTTAAAAGCGCATACATTTATAAATTACTAGGACTGTCTTTCCATTCACAACAACTTTGACTTTAAATCATTATCAATCTTGAAATCTAGATTTGCATAAGTCTATACCCTAAATGTTTAATTGTTTGATAGCAGGCAACTGATCCTTCATTGATAATATTTTTTATTATTTATAAGGTCCTCGTTGTTCAAGTGGTCTAATTAGTTTATCGGCAGTGACCATCAGCCTGTTAACTCTGTGGAACCGATAGTGGAAAGGTTCGTTCGACTCATCTGACAATGATTGCCGGTATTCCTGCCGAAGTTCATTGGATTTCTCATTGTACCCGGCTTCCCCAAACAAGAAAAATATGGCCGTCATAATATGGAAAGGGTATACAAAAGTAAAGATAAACACCAACAAACAAAAAACATTAATACAAAATTTCGAACAGGTGTAAACAAATTATAAATGATGTTTTATTATCAATTAATAATATTCAGTGTGCAAATTAATTATTTTAAACAAACTTACTCTGTAAAGTAGAGGTATATAATTTGCGGCATTTGTTTTCACTGACTCTTTAGCTGTTTTTAAGAATGGTTCAATTTCGTCATCACTGAAACCCTAAAAAAAAAAGATTTTAAGCCGTTTAAGCTAATATTAACAATAACAAAAGACAATCACGCAATCAAAGAGAATATGCTCAAAATTCGCAATGATTAAGTAAATGTATTACCCGGTTATTACTTATCTTTAAAGCAGTAATAAGGTTCAATGGCTATATTCTGTGTTTCAAGGACTAATTGTTTATTTTCAATCTGCGACCAATTTTATTTTATTTTTATTTTAGATTATTGCAGAGCGTTGTTGACTGAACTTTCTTGTTTGTTTTAGGACCAATCTTCTTTCCTTTAAAGTACGTTATTATGTGTCTTTTGTTTAGATAAAAAGTTGTATTTAGTCGTATCTTTTTAATAATTTGGAAGTTAGTTGTGCATGCTCAAGATGTTAAAAAGAGTCAAATACTGACTGTGGAATATGATAAATTAGAACAAAAGGGATAATTAATTCTAAATTAAACCTTAGGAAGTGCATATTGTAACCAACAAATAGCATACTACATCACATTGTTTTTTTCCCCAGTTTCAGTTTTTAATCGACCCTAATAAATGTCGGACATGGGTTTTTCTTCGGATAGATGTTCACAGCGCATTACAGTCCACATGATACTGCAATGGAGAGGGTCACTGACTGCATCAGCAGAATTATGATAAGAATCTACATTTAAATTTAATGTATGTTGCAGTGGCTAACTGTTTTTAAATGTGATTACAGTGTCTGGGTACATGTAAATGAATCCATTTACAGCAGTATCTGTAGCTTTGATGGATAGATGTAGGTTAACTATCTTGGAAAAATCGTCCATCAAAGACCTCTTAATTTGTGGTGGTTTGATAAACGATTATGAATCATTTTCATAAGATAAAAAATTCAGGATACGGATAACATACATGTACAAGCTTTTTATGCCCTGATAACTGTTCTTCTATATCCTCCAAACATATATTATAAACCTCCTACAAATAAAGCAAAATTTAATGAGTATTTAAATGTCACGGAACAAAAGTTGGTTGTTCAAATACACTCGATCATAATATTCGTGCGCTTTCAATTTCATTTCAAATAACAATTTACAAATATGAATCAATTACCAAAAGGTTCAATAAAAATGAATGGACCTTTTCAATGCTGATATTCACGTCGATCGGATTATTAAGATAACCCCAAAGATGTTAAAATACCTACTATAAATGCATGTTTCAAACTGTAAATTATAAGACAGTTTCTTCTTGCAAATGGTAATTTACAATATTGTTGCCTTTGATGTCCAATTATATTGACTACTTGTTAGAATTGGAAAATAAATGTCATTGACATTTAGTTGTTATTATAATTGTTACCTTTAGCATGTCTAAAAGAACCGCAATGGTTTCGATTTCTGTTAAATTAAGATTTTTACAATCCACTATGTCTGAAAATGCATCCGTCCATTCGTTCTCGTACAATTCACTAAACTGATCTCCTAGTTTCATTGGTCGATTCGGATCATTTAGGTCTGTGATAGCAGGATTGTTGTCCCTTAGCTTTGTTCCCATAATGTCACTCAATCTATAAAATGATCAATTTATATATTTTCTGGATTGACCTTCGACAGGAACACTCAAGCCCAAAATATTGTGACCAATCAAATTTGTATAGAAATAGATTTGATGTTGTATTATAAAATATGTTTAATGTCTATCAACATTTTGTCTGTGTTACTTCTGTACAATGATTATTGCAATGATGTAACATATGTTTATATATAACGTTTTGCAAATAATTGAACATAGTTTTGAAAAGGGAATGAAGATACCAAGGGAGCAATATAATACATCAAATTAAAGAGAAACGAAAAAACAAACAGCAGTTCATAAATCACTATACTAAAATCATAAAGATTGAGTAATACGAACCCTACCATAAGCTGGGATGAGTGTAGGTGCTTATTGAGGTCATTATTCTTGCTTCACCACTGAAACCTTTCGTGTTACCCAAGATAAGTAACGTTCAATGATCGTTCGTATTTGGTGATGTCACAATCGAATAAAAGGGGATCATGGTAATGTGGCTCAAGTTGAAATTTATGAAACAGATATTCCATAACGGAAAAACAAAATCATGATGGCGTCTGTAAGACTGTCAAAGAGGTGACTTTTACTGCATTACCAGGAACCCTTTTTGAACAGCTTCCTTGTAAACAGTAGCCATGGAAGTCATAAAAGGATATATACTTCATAGACGGGCGTTGCTTTAATAATACTACTCAGAATTGGAAAGTTTACATGGCAAAACATAACAAAAAACATTCATCAATGAATAAATTGTTCAAAATTTTTTCAGGATTTTTAAGATATCTTATTTCAAATCTTCTATTTGATTTAAACCATCTCTTTAGTCGAAAAGTTTTGTTTTCAGCCACCAATCATTGTCATTTTCTAGATGCATGTAAAGATACACAGAAGACTAAACTTTATCTGTGGTATTATTTTAAGATCAATTGGATAGATGCGATCATCGTGGACGTCTTTATATGTTATACTATCTGATTTCATTGAAAGCTTGAAAATAGTGTAATATTGTCAAAATTGTTCTTTTACTCCTTTCTTTTAAATTTTAAATTAAAACTGAAAACAATAGTACTTTTATTGTCCTCTTGTTCTGTGTTGCAAAAAAAAACATAATTTGATAAGAAAATTTTGGGTCACGTGTTACACCAACCTTGTTAAAGCATCAGACTTTTCCTGAGTCAGCAAACGTACACATTTTTCAGCTTCCGTTAATCTGAAATATTTTGTTTATTGAATAACTTTCAAAACGAGACATACATGTAAATACGGTATATCATTTTTAAATAACTATTTCATATGTACATACATACAGTTTTACAAAAACGGTTTAACACATTTATGCATGATAGTATTGGTTGATTGTTTTATGAAATGATATCTTAACAAACCACCAAAATTAATATTAATCTATCAATACTTAAATAAAATATACAGGAAAAAATTATACCGGTTATTTAGAATAACAAGAAACATAAAAAATATTTTAGAAGATTAAAAGGGTATTTTTCAGAATACGAGCATATTTTTGTCTCAGCTATATATCTTGCTTTATGAGTTTGTTAATTGTTTGGTTTCATTCTGACGAAATGCGAATCTTGTGCAGTAAAATTGTTACCTTGAATATTATCAATATTTATATATGTATTATATAGATTTCATGAAAAATATATCATGTGTATTTCAGGTTGATTTTTAGGAAAAAAGGATTAATATGTTTATGACATATTATGTCATTAACATATGAATATTTTGTATTACCTTTCCAATCCATTTTTATTTTCTGTCTGTAGGTATACATTTGCAGATTGGTATTCTCTCAGTCTTAAACAAAAGTAAAAAATATCATTAAATCTAAATAAAATCAAAATGGCTTCCTGGCAAAAAGTAAAATAACAGAAATACGGAACTCCAAGGAAAATTCAAAACGGAAAGTCCCTTATCAAATGGCAAAATCAAAAGCTCAAACACATGAAACGAATGTCTAGAAAGCTTATCTCTAGAACAATCATCATTTTTTGGAGTTGGTTTAATTAACTTTTAATACAATCATCAAAACAACTCATGGTGACATGAGAATACAAGTAGCATTAACCTAATGTGTTAATCAAATGTTAAATGTATAGCTGTAATCCTGTTTTGGAGTTTTTATTGTCATAATGTCAATCCTGCAGGCATGTAAAACTTCAAATAAACAAATTATTTTTAATAATAGATAGATGAAATAAATTATATCAAATTTTCCGAAATCAAAGACAAATGATCCTAAGCCATATTTGACAGAAATTATAGAATTTTGCTTTTGAAATTTGTAATTGATTTGGCCTTCCAACTATATTGATGCAAACACCACTGATGAGTTCGTGTGTAACGAAACGAGAGTCTGATGTACCAACTTATAAGCTCGGCATATTTGACGATATCTGTATAATCGTGAAATATAAGTTTTTCCAGAGAATGATTTTTTTTTAAATCTATTCATTTTCCGTAATCATTTTACTTTTATATTGCAAAGGCAATTGTTGATTACTGGTATTCAAAATACTTAATTCCAGCTTTATCTAATCAAGTGTTCGGCACAGCTGTGAACCAGTGTGTGATCTAAATATCTTAAGTAACATACTTTTTCAAAGCATCTTCTTTGTCTGATTCTGTAGCTTTCAATTTCTGTTCGAACTCTCTGACTCTGTTAATGAATCATTTCAATAGAATATTATAAAAATAGTTATTCAAAGAACAATAACATTAATTAAAACGTAATACTCCTTCCTACAATGATATTGATTTAAAATGCTAAACCTGTTTGTTTAAAACTCGTGGCCGATTTAGACAAAATATCAGCTGAAAGTATCATCATAAAGTTTTTAATATTTTCATACCTGTCAAACTCATCAAGTTCCAGAAAAGAAATTGAATTTTAAGAGGTCATTCTTTCAACAGAGAAGGTATGTTTTGTATTTGATTCAGAAGTAAAAACTATGTAGATACAATTTTCTATAATCAACAACAAATAAATGTAGAATCGATATAATAAACCATTGCTATTTTTGTTTAAATTGACTTCTTTATATTGGTTTTTTATGCATTCTTCAAAAAAATTGGTAAAATGACGAAATGAAACAAAATCTTAATCTCATGAAAAACATGCCGGTCTATGATGTAAAATGCGCATTAATTGTAGTTTATGTTTATCTACTGCAGACAAAAAAAATTGAAAACACTTGTGCTCAACGTTATAGTAGTCAAACTTTTTGTGAAACAAGACTATAAGGGTAAAACCGTGAATGCCTTTCTCGATGTATCTGCCGAATTGAATAATCAAGCAAAAGCTAAAGAGGACATTTAGAAGTTTGACTACACAATAACATGTTTATAGACAAAATGTAGAACTCTTCTAACTTCCAAATGACTTAGAAAAATTACCTTTGTAAAGCTGAAGTCTTCTCTTTCTCTGTCGAATTCAGTTTGACCTCAACTTCTTTTATTCTACCAAAAACATGTTCTTAGTTAACGTTCATATCAGAACAAACCTCAAATTTCTATATATATTTTAATGTGAAAAAGATAGTTAGGTGTAAAATGATAATTAAACACCAACCAAACAACTATAATATTTCAACAAAATAGACTGTTGAAGGCTAAAATACGGCCTTTGCAAACTGAAAAGTAACCATACGTAATCGCAAGAGTCTTTGTAAGTAAGCAAGTAATGAATACATTTTTTACGCTGTCATATATAATGCTTAATAAAAAAAATGATCAAGTGGAATGAAACCACGAACAATCAATCGTATATATTTGACGTTTTTTTTTAATCTGGATACAGTTCCTAAAGTCTTACCTTGTCACTCCTTTTGGAAAGTGTATTAGTAACCAGTGATATCTACATCATAGCATTTAGATATTTTGAAGTGTCAACCGTTTGACTCAGATCGACGACTTCAAGCTAGAATTTTTGACAAACATTATGATTTCCACTTTTTAACTGTTAATATTCCATTCCGCTATAGAAACACTTGTGTTAAATGTTATAGCAGTCACACATTTTGCAAAATAAGGCTATTTGTGTAAAGAACCGTGAAATGCCTTTTTTATACTGTGGATTCATTAATTTTCGTGGGTACTAATTTTCGTGGATTAAGGAAAACTTACATGTTCATGGATATTTAATTTCGTGGTTTTGCCAAAATCTGAATACAAGCCGATAGAAAATTTGTCTTTCGTTGAATATTTAATTTCGTGGTTCATCTGTAATCCACGAAATAACAATGAATCCACAGTATCTGTCAAATCGAATACTGTGGTTTCCCTTAATTTCGTTGATATCAATTTACGTGGATTAAGGAAAAGTCGTATATCGTGGATGTTTGATTTCGTGGTTTGCTAATATAAAAATAAGAGATGTGATAGGATTGCCAATGAGACAACTCTCCACCAGAGGCCAAAATGACGTAGAAGTTAACAACTGTAGGACATAAGTCTATACAAGCCTAAAGAAAATTTGGGGTTCTTTTAACATTAAAACTCGTTGTTTATTTTACCCACGAAATCCACGAAAAATAACGAACCCGCAGTAATCAAACCAAAGCTAGCATATACATTTTCTAATATCTGTATTCAGAAGTTTGACTACGCAATAGCATGTTTGTGGACAAATTGTGCAACTCTTCTAATTTCCAAATGACTTAAAAAAATACCTTTTTAAAGCTGAAGTCTTGTCTTTCTCTGTCGAATTCAGTTTTGCTTCACATTCTTTTATTCTACCAAAACAGATTGTATAAGCATGTTGTTAGTTAATATCAGAACAAAGTTCAAAATTTGCAATATATAACTTTACTATAATATATTTTAATGTGAAAAGGGAAGTGAGGTGTAAAACGATAATTAGACAACAAAGAAACAATTAACTTTCCACAAAATAGAGTTGATGATGTTACAATACGTCCTTTAAAAATTGAAAAGTAACCACACTAAAATATAGCCCCTCGTCTAAACAAATAAACAAGTAATAAATATGAATGTCACACTGTCATAATGCCTAATAAATAAAATGATCAAGTGGAATGAAACCACGAACAATCAATCGTATATATAGTTGGCGTTTCGGGATACAGTATGTAAATTCTTGACTCGTTACAACTGTTGGATACTTTTTTAGTCACCAGTTATATATAAATCATAGCATTTAGATATTTTGATCGTTACCAGTTTTACTCTATCCTTTCCCCGACAAGACACAGATCGACGATTTATACATGTAGCTAGAATCTTTGACAAACATGATGATTTCCACTTTCTAACTTAACATTCTATTTCTCACCCGTAACATACCAACTTCCCATCGTATGGCGTTAATATATCTTAATTGCCATAGACGGGGATCTAAGTTAAAATCGATCGAATTTTTTATTACATTGCCAAAATAAAGTTTGTATCGTATTATTTTCAGAAATATAATGAAACGTTTCTGTCACGGAGCACTTTGATTGTGCAAAAATGTCAGATTTTTTTAAGGATTATACATGTACATGAAAACACCTGTTGTTTGATTAGAAAGAAAAATAGACGAATAGCTAAAACTTCTAAAATAAAATACGAGAATATAGTTTTTATAATGTGCTTTCTGAAAATAAAAAGATAAATATGGGTCATCATACGCGTTTTCTTGCTACAAAACCAAATAGGTAAATTTTCTATATGTTCTTTTATAAAATTATATTATTTTGAGTTACTTCCCTTTATATGGGTATGTTCGATTTTTTTAATGGAACAAAAATTATTCTATATTTGTTGAAACAGTCGTAAAAGAAATCACTCAATTTTCTCTATTTCATAGACAAGTCTTCCAATCGAATTCCATTCCGGTCTCAAAATTTGCAATTGAAGATCTAGAAATATGGTTGTTAGCTATTTTATAATACAAGATGGCGAAAGAAACCGATTTCCTTAATACGTAACGCTCGTGCATGTGCACACTATACGGATTTCTTTACCTGGGTTGAATTCTTTACACAAAAATTGCCCCAACGGAGCAATGCGGAAGAACAATTGAAATCGACACTATATATGTTTTATGATATCCATTACAAATTTGTTGATCAATACGATCTGTCTGTAACTCACTAGCAATATTCCGATCTAACTATCCTTAGTACAATACCTTTTTAAAGCCTCCTCTTTTTCAGATTCTGTAGCTTTCAATTTCTGTTCAAGATCCTTGACTCTGTTAATGTGTAAATGACATTAAATATTAGAATATTATGTAATAAACAAACGATAACCACAAATAAAAGAACAGTGTTTCCATGACCACATGCGATGAACATGTTTTATCTCTCTAAGGAGAATCACTAAGGCTCCAGAAATTGGATGTTCTTTAATTTTTTTTTCATACCAAGGGGCATATCACCTGTAAAATGGTTGGTCCGACTCTTCAAAGATCTTGTTGACATAAACATTTGATATAGTTATCATAAATTGCAGGGGTAAATTCTTGATTTCTGAAAGGGGCGAGCATAGCGAGGCAAACAAATTTTTGAACGAGTTTATACTAAAAATGTATATACATCGTGAAACACAACTGATCTTTTATTTTAAGGCGATCAAATGGGAGCGTATGCCCTCTACGCCCTCCCCATAGATCTGTAACTGAATTTCATAAAAATCTGACAAGAAACGTAGTTGTGAGAGTTCTTACAGTGTTGCTATAACAATGAAAGTATTAAATTCGAAAATACGAATACAAATTTTTCTCTGGGTTATAAAATTGATCTACTACACAAACGTATTTAAGATATTGATTTTATAAAAAGCAGCAATCTAGAATTTAGTAAAATAGGATGATACATAAACGAGGTTTATGTAACTTATACTAATAAATTGAAAAGAGTAACTCTTCAAAATAAAAAAAAAAGCATTCAATCGTATATGCAAAGGGAAGTAACTGCAATCCCTCTTAATTGGCTATCAGGCATTTTTGCGAATGCTAACTGAGTTTCTCGATGAAAAAGCTAGGTATTGGATATTCAACTAGTATTTCATAATAGTTTTAAAACATTTGACTTACTCTTAAACGTTATACACTTTAAAAGAGAGGCGAAAATTACCAAAAGGACATTATAACTCATAAGTCAAAAATAAACTGACAACCCCATGGCAAAAAAAAAAGAAAAAGACAAACATACAAACAGACAAAAAGCAGTAAACAGAGCACAAAAGTAGAAAACTAAAGACTAAGCAAAACAAACCCTATCAAAAATAAAGGGTGATCTCAGGTGCGTCGGGAGGGTAAGCAGATCCTGCTAAGTCTAATACGGTAGGTCACATTCAGGGAATAGAGGACGGGTTTGTAGTTACGACATTTGGAACATATCCGACGTCATCTGTGAACAGATATTTCATAAGATCAACCAACTCGTGATGGCTTCCGTAAAATTTTCGAAGGGATGATTTCAACTTCACCACTTGGAAATCTTGGTTTTATATCTTTTTTGAGAGTAGCAACCCTCTATCAAGGAAATCAAGATAGGAAACGCAAGCCCTGGAATATTGTATCAGCTGTCGCTGCTGGAATTTTGCTACCTAGAAATGGAAAGTTCACAATTGGGAGGCTGAAATCAATTTTTTTGTCGTAAAGTTTTGTTCTCAACCGACCCTCATTGTCAATTTCTAGATGCAAGTCAAGATATGGTGCAGACTTAACTGTATCTGTTGATTAGTTTATTGTTTATGATGACTTATATCGCTCAAATACATTAAAAACTATAAGCATAAATATAGGCAATAGCAGTTTACCGCGGTTCAAATGTCATAAATCGATTTAGACGACAAATCAAGGTAAAATTGAGAATGGAAATGGGGAATGTGTCAAAGAGACAACAACCCGACCAAAGAGCAGAAAACAGACGAAGGCCACCAATGGGTCTTCAACACAGCGAGTAAATCCCGCACCCGGAGGCGGGCTTCAGCTGGCCCCTAAACAAAAATGTGTACAAGTTCAGTGAAAATGGACGTGATACTAAACTCCAAAACATATAAATGAACTTTTTGATGATGATGATGATGATGATGATGATGATGATGATGACAGCAAATTAATATTCAGGACGGGAACATCATAATGTAATATGAATAATAACCCTGCTTTGTACTAGACCGACACGAGAGGCGAAAGATACCAAAGGGACATTCAAACTCATAAGTAGAAAATAAACTGACAACGCCATAACTAAGAAAAGAAAAAGACAATGGACAAACAGACAAAACAACAGTACACAAAACGCAACACAGAAAAACTAAACTGAGCAACACGAACCCCACCAAACACTGAGGGTGATCTCAGGTACTCCGGCAGGTTAAGCAGATCCTGCTCCATATGTGGCACCCGTCGTGTTGCTCATGTTAGTTTACTCTAGCTATCTTAAGTAACAAACTTTTTCAAAGCATCTTCTTTGTCTGATTCAGTAGCTTTCAATTTCTGTTCCAAATCTTTAACTCTGTTAATAGATTAATTACAAAGAATATTGAAATAATATTAATTAAAAGAAAATAACCTCAAACAAAACGTTATACTCCTTCCTACAGTGGTTATGATCTAAAATGCTTCACCTTTTAGTTTAAATAACATTATTGGTACCAGCTTTTTACATCACCAGATTCGCATTTCAACAATAAATATCTCTTTAGTAATGCTCGAGGCCAAAAGCTTTGAAAACTCCAGACTTTTACAAACGTTGAAGAGCTGTTCAGACCAAAAAAGGAATTAGAGCTTTGAATGAGGGAGACATATTCCTTAATTTTAATGATATCCAAAACTTCATATGAGCAAATATCAATCAAACATTTTCCGTTTGTTCATGCCAATCTCGAGGTACTGGCTACTGAGCAGGTGATACCCTCAGGGACTAAACGTCCACCAGCAGAGGTATAAACCCAGTGGTAGTAAAATCATTAACGATACCAATTTACTGCACGAGATGCGCATTTCGATACTTAATGTCTCTTCAGTGACGCTCGAGTGGCCGAATTAAGCAAAATATGAGCTCGAGCTGAAAGTATAATGCGTAAAGTTCGACATGCATCATACGTGTGAAACTTCATCACGCTTTAAAAAAATGGAATTTGAGAGGTAATTCCTTAAACGGAGAAGCACTATTTAATATTTTCTTATTCACCTGTAAAAAAGATACGCTGTTCAAAATTTATTCAACAGCAAATAAATGTATAATCAATGCACATCAATAAACAATTTCTATTTTTTGTTTAAATTGCCTTGTTTTTATTGGCTTTACCTCCACGAATGACATTTTTGTGTATTTGTCGAGCTGATACAACATCTTAGTCAACACATGATGTACAGTAAAATCCTGGCTTCAAATTATGTTTACAAATAAATTGTAGTTTGTGTTTATCTACTTGTTACCAAAATTTACATTTGACAACACATACACTCAATGGTAATACTATGTCAGTTAATTGATTTTCTGAAACAAGGCTATTTATGAAAAATCGGGTTAAGGCATTTTCGATATATCCATTACACTTGATAATCAAGCCAAAGTTAGTATTTAATTTTTAATACTTTGTATCAGAAAGTTGACTACACAACAGAATGTCTGTAGACAAAATGTGCAACTCTTCTAATTTGCAAATGACTTAGAAACATTACCTTTGTAAAGCAGAAGTCTTCTCTTTCTCTGTCGATTTCATGTTTGCTTCAAATTCTTTTATTCTACCCAAAAAAGAAGCATACCAGAACAAACTTCAAATATTCAATTTAGCTTTGCTATATTTTTTAATGCGAAAAAAGGGAGTGCGGTGAAAAACGGACACCAATCAAACAATTAAATTATAACAAAATAGACTTTTAGAGGTCAAAATAGTAAATATTGCCTTCATCAATTAAATAGCAACAAAATTGTATTCTTAGCTCTAAATCGAGTCTTTACAACTCAATAAGTAATGCATATTCAATGTTAAACTGTCATAATGCTTTGTAAATAAAATTTTCAAGTGGAATGTAACCACGAATAATCAATAGTATATTTGACGTTGATTATATGCTGGATACAGTTTGTAAAGTCTTAGCTAGTCACTGCTGTTGTATAGTTTTCGTTTTTCTTTTCGTCGTTTTTCGTTTTTTGCCATGACATTGTCAGTTTGTTTTCGACTAACGATTTTAAACATCCCTTTTATATCTATCGCCTCTCTTTGTAGCCATCAGTCAGATGTACATAACAGCATTTAGATGTTTTGAATCGTCATCCGTTTTACCCTATTTTTCACTTGAATAGACACAGATCGACGACCTTAAGATAGAATCTATGACAACATAATGATTTTCACTCTCTTATTGTCAACATTCATTTTCTTAGCAGTAACATACCCTCTTCCTATCTAATGGCGTTAAAATATTTTAACTAATGATGACGGAAGTCTTAGTTAAATCATTTTTTAATATTTTGCCAAAATGTAGTTTATATCATGCAATTTTCAGATATATGATAAAACGAAAGGCAAACAGAGCACTTTTATTAGTGAGATAAGATATCAAGGTGGAAATCTATTACCATGACGACGAAAAACAGTCAATACCGGGGCTAAAAACGAAAACTACGAAAAGATAAACAGGTAAGAACAAGCATGTACAATCGATAATATTTTGTATCATCTTTAAATATTTCTTTTTAAAAACTATTAGAAAGCCAGTAGATTTTAGACTTCTTTATCAGAGATATATGTTGATTACTAGTGATGCAAAATACTAATTCCAGCTTTATTGGATCTGGGGTTAAGCACATCTGTGGAGCAGTGTTTGTTCTAACTATCTTAAGCAACATACTTTTTCAACGCATCTCCTTTGTCTGATTCTGCAGTTTTCAATTTCTGCTTGATATCTTTGACTCTGTTAATGTATTAATTATATGGAATATTATGATTAATCAAATAAAAACGACCTCAAACAAAATTTATACTCCTACCTACAATGATATGGATTCAAAATGCTTCACCTTTTGTTTAGTGACAAACAAGTGACAAAATTTAGACACAACATCAGCTTAAAGTATAATTCATAAAGGTTTAAATGTATCATATGTATTAATAAATAAAGGCAATAGAAGTATACCGCTGTTCGAAATTCTTGAGAAAAAAACAAATCCGGGTTACAAACTAAAACTGAGGGAAACACATCAAATATAAGAGGAGAACTACGACACAACAGAAACACAACATTAAAATGTAACACACACAGAAACGAACTATAATATAACAATGGCCATTTTCCTGACTTGGTGCAGGATATTTTAAGAAAAAAAATGGTGGGTTGAACCTGGTTTTGTGGCTAGCCAAACCTCCCGCTTTTATGGCAATGTTAAATATAACATTAAAATGACAACATTACATGACAGGACTACAATACAAATAAATGGGAGAACATATAGAACAGAGAAACTTACGAATAATAGCTAACAAATGGTACCAGGTTTAAAATTTAATACGCAAATCGCGCGTTTCGTCCACACAAGACTAACCAGTGACGCTCAGATAAAAAAAGTACGAAAGCCAAAACAAGTACAAAGTTGAAGAGAACTGAGGACCAAAAGTTCCAAAAAGTTGTGCCAAATACGGCTAAGGTTATATGTCTGGGATAAGAAAATCCTTAGTATTTAGAATAATTCATACTTTTGCAAACAGTAAGTTTATAAAAATGACTATATAATAGATATACATGATAACACCGAAGTGGTGACTAACTACATAATAAAAACGAATACATAAAACAACATAAACCAGCACATAGAAATTCACAGCCGAGTTAGCCAAAGAAACTCATCATCAATAACCTCTTCAAATTAAAAAAAAACTATTTTTGATTTTTACATGTAATTCTTTCAATGGAGAACGTACTATTTTATGTCTAATTCTCCAATAAAAAAAATATGCTGTTCAAAATTTCTCCAATCATCAACAAATAAATGTAAAATCGGTGTAATAAATATTTTCGTTCAAATTGCTTTATTTTTTTATTGATTTTACATCCATTAATGACAGAAAATTTGGTAAATTGCCTATGAAGAACTGACACAAAATCTTTATCACATGACAAACATGATAGTCAATGATGTACATTACAATCCTGGCCCAAAATTATGCGTAATAATAACTTATCTTCTTGCTGGCAAAAATAATTTTGAAAACACTTTGTGATCAATGTTGAATCAGTCAAACTTTTACTTAAACAAAGCTATTTGTGTAAAAATCGGGGAACCTTTTTCGATGTTTCTGCCAAAATTAATCATTACGTGAAATATACGTTTTCTTATAAATATATTCAAAAGTTGGAATACACAATTGAATATGTTGCAAAAAAAGTGTGTAACTCTTCTTATTTACAAATGACTTTGAAACATTACTTTTCTAAGGCTGAATTCTTCTCTTTGTCTGTCGAATTCAGTTGTGCCTCAATTTCTTTTATTCTGTAAAACAAATTGTATAGGATGTATGTTTTTATAATTCATAACAGAACCAACTTTAATATTTCCAATATGGATTTATCATATCTTTTAAGGTTAACATGAATTGTGGTGTAAAGCGAATATTATACACCAACCATACAACTTAATTATAATACACCTTTTTAAATCACGCCGAGTCTAAACAACTAAACAAGTCATGAATATTAAACGTGAGAATATCAAAACACCTTGTATATAAGATTTCCAAGTGATATATAACAACGAACAATCAATCGTATAAATATTTGATACCGATTTTATGTTGGAAACATTTTGTAAACCCTTATGAAATAAGGAGGTGTGGAATGATTGCCAATGAAACAACTACACACCAGAGTCAAACTGATGTTGATGTGAGCAATTAACTTGTCATTACTAATGAATAATTTTTAGACATCACCAATGTATATATCTAAGTATTTAGATAATTTGAATCGTCAATCATCCATTTCACTTGATTTTTTTTTCTTGATATTGACACAAATGGGAGACTTCTAACTAGAATATATGACAAACGTGATGATTTCAATTTTCTAAATGTCAACTGCCCATTTCTCACATTCTTCTACATGCTTTTGTGGTTTTAGATTATTAACATACCAGAAAAGTTGCCTTATCTGTGAAATTACCCATTTGATCCTACTCCAGATATTTTACAATTTAAATGACTGGGGATTCGCATTGCAGGTGATGCGTGCATATCCGGAGACGTTTAACCCGTCGACGCTTCCGGTATCGCTTCTATTTGAGTTCATGTGAATCACTCGGTCTTTATGTTTACATTGATGTGTATGTTCTTACTGGATGTATGAGATTTGAATATCAGTAAACTAGTTTCGCTTCCAATTGTTCAACACTGAAGATCAAGTGTTGAAGCACACACTATTTATAAAAACTCTGAAGCACCTGAGATCACTCCCGGTTTTTGTTTTGTGGATTTGTTTGTCCTTTCTTTTTTCGTTTTTTGTCCGGAACTGTTAAATTCTCTTAGACGTAGAGAGTTTCCAATATCCTCTTGGTATCTTTCGACTCTTTTTACGAGCGTTAAGGAAAACACTAAATCATATCCTTTCAAATTATTATTTCTTCGATGAATGCTCAAACGTTGATTCTGTTCCCGTAAAAGAATGTAAAACTTTATCCATTTCATTTTGCTCCTTCTCACTTAAAATTGCATAATTGTGATCAATAACTAAACACGGTCACTTTTAAGGTAAAATGAATAAACCAATTAAACTAACTATTATTAGTCAGTCACTGCTCGACATATTTTGTTGAATATTGTAAGCATACAAAACATGTACCTGTTTAACGAACTATTCTTCTGTGACTCCATAGTTTTGAGTTTCTCCTCGTATTCTGTAAGTCTGTTAATTATAGGTTTCATAGCGAGTTTAATTGGATATCGCTTGATATCTACTAGAATTTTTTAATGCTATACAATACTAAACGAGCCTTTGCTCGGTTAATAACTATAAAGAATTTAAATTACGAGAGTTGATATTAAAAGATTTCCAATTCTCATTTTTTTAATAAAAGCTGTGGTATCCTGTCTTATAAAAATAAATTTATATATTTGATACAGATACCAGTTCACACGACTTATGTTATAACTGTTACCATTGCCTTTGAGACCAACAGAGACGAACTACTAAAATAATTTTGGCAATCAAAAACAAAAGAGCTAGCTTATAGATTTTAGCACATTTCGTAATTTTCCTGTTTAGATATAATGATATTGTCTAGAGATGAAACACAGAATGCTCGACAGCTTGATCTGGTGACTTATACTCCAGTAACTAGGTGCAGATAACATTTTGTCATATTTTATTAAATACAAAAATAAGGTATGTGGTGTTGTTGTAGATGAGATAACTATCCACCAAAGACCAAATGACGAGAGTGTAGGCAACTATCTGTCATCGTACAGCCCTCAACCATGAGCAAAACCCATTCCATATAATAAGCTATAAAAGGATCCATTAATGTTTTGTCTGTGAAATGAATATTGTGAGCAATGGCATTTCTTATATGTAAAGTCTTTCGACTCGAGTTTGTCGTACTTTTTATTAGTCAAAACTACTTGGTTGAATTAAGGCCCTGCACTGATTTACAGTGTTAAAGCCTTATGGTATATATACGATTTGTTTTTATTGCATACATTGTCGCATCGTTTATTTGTTCCCTCCAACAATTGTGATGTAACGCATAATTTCCATAAAAATAGAAGCAAGCAAACCAAGAAAATGATGGATAAGTAAACGTATTATAAAAATATATATTAAGGCATGGTCTTTTGATTCCTATTTCTTAAAAATACATCAACTTATCTAAGATTTTGTACATGTATAATGCAAGAATTTTCTTTCTCTTCCTTTTTCGAAATAATTTCGAAACTGAGAAAAAAATCCTTTTACATGGTGTTTTTTAATGAAGACGTAAGAAATATGTTTTTCGTTGATTTATTATCAGCTGAAAACTCAGCAATGAAAGAAAAAAACTTACTATTATATACCAGCGACTCTTTTCACAAAAAATCTTACGATCAAAATTAATCGTAAGTTATACTGAAATGTGTATGACTTACGAGTATTTTTACTCTTAAGATTGTTTGTGAAAAGAGTCGCAGACTTGTAAACAAAGACTTAACTGGCATGTCAGTAACTGCTAGTAGTCCTTTGTTCATTTATGTATCATTGTCATTATGCTTAGTTTCTTTTGTTACCTATTCTGGCATCGGACTCGACTTCTTTTGAACTGAGTTTTACTGTACGTATTGCTATGTGTTTCTTTATTCTACATTGGCTAGAGGTATAGTGGGAGGGTTGAGATCTCACAAAACATGTTTAACCCGCCGCATTTTTGCGCCTGTCCCAAGTCAGGAGCCTCTGGCCTTTGTTAGTCTTGTATGTTTTTTTTAATTTTAGTTCATTTATATGTTTTGTGGTTTAGTGTGACGTCCATTTTCACTGAACTAGTACACAATTTTATTTAGGGGCCAGCTGAGGACCACCTCCGGGTGCGGGAGTTTCTTGCTGCGTTGAAGACTCATTGGTGGCCTTCGGCTGTTGTCTGCTCTTTGGTCGGGTTGTTGTCTCTTTGACATATTCCCCATTTCCATTCTCAATTTTACTTAACATTCATCTTGAGTGCTTAATTATAAGCTGATATTTTGGGTGATATTTTTAATTACTCAACAAAAACCATTTATTTTTCTCAAACAAATAACTTTCTACAAAATACATTACTCATTTCAATTTCGAAGCTAAGATTGCAAGCATTACATTTCCTGTGGTAAAGGTATGTTGTCATTCTTCACATTTGTTTTTCCATTCGTTTGATGAGTTTGAGCTTCTGATTTTGTCATTTGATGAGGGACGTTCCGTTTTGAATTTTCCTTGGAGTTCGGTATTTTTGTTATTTTACTTTTTCACAACAGCATGAATAATAGACTCACCTTTTCAAAGTTGTCTCTTTCTCTTCCTCCATTAAATTCAGCTTTCCATTTGAGTCTTTTGTGCTTAAAAATAATATGTCTCGATTCTTTTACATAATATACGAATAAGTAGAGGTGGAATGATTGCCAAGACAGCTTTATATCATAGAACAAATGCAAATGGCTTGCGTGTAAGCAACTCACTCTCGGGGTAGGGGGGTACTTCCTATATACAAGGTGATAGTACGTGCCTCTGGAATAGGTCACATTTTCCAGTTTGAAAATATGTGAATAGGTGGGTGGGGAAACTATCAGAAATATATGAAAAGGTCAATAAAGTCTTCGTCTGTCATTTTAATGGTGTTCCGGGCTGTGTTTTTATCCACACATTTTCCCTCTTTTGACACTTTTGTATTCCACTTTTCAAACCCACCACTCGAAACCCAATATGGGAAAAGATTACATTTTTACCTACACAATATATGAAAAGGTAAATATTTTTAAAATTTAAATAATATGAAAAGGGTGGTGTAACAGAACCCAGCGGCACCCCCTATCAATTAAATATTGAATATATATTTTATTATTTAAGTACGAAAATCTATTATATTCTCTTACAATTTATGACTCAGTTTAATTTAAGTGTATTCCAGAAATATTCAATAAATATGGTTTTATAAATGCTAGAGGCAATAACCCCTACAAAAGACTATTGTGGGTTCATTGAATTATTCGTAGATCTTGTATCGATGATCATTTGTGCCAGTTAAAGTGTCTAATTATTATAATTTTCATGAAATTAGCCCAAAACGCAGAACATAAAACAGCATGTAATTACATAGAAAAAACTTCTAGCAGTCGTCTTTGGCAGTTTTGGTAAAAACAAAAGGCAATATGTAGATCTTTACATTATGACATTGGTGCCTCATCAGATTTTTCTACGTATAACGGCTTTCAAGATATAAAACATTTTACATTATTCTCTGTTTTCAGCCAATGGTGGCCATATTAGATGGAAAGCTGGATCATGATCCTACATTTTTAAACACGATATCCCAAGGGTAATTTTGATTTAGCAGTTTCATATTTTTGCAAACCTTTCACAAACGAACAAAAATTAAAGATTAGAGCTCAATTGAATTGCCAAACTTGATATCTTTTCTGTTGTCGCAACGACAAATGGAACTTGGTGATTCTTTTATAACCTAAATAAATGTTGCTTTCAGAAGAATCACAGACAAAAATTCGTTGGTAAGTTGCATTCTGTCATTTCATAACGAGGAAAGTAGAACAAGATTTTGCATATACAATTGGAACATAATCATCAGAGATACATGTAATTACATTACGGTCAGCCAAATCAAGACGGCGTTTGTGAACTTTTGAAGAGACGACTTAAACTTTATCATTAAGAACCTTAGATTAAATACCCTACATGGCAATGTTGCAACCTCAAATCCAGTCGTATTTTAAGTCTTAGTCTGCCTATATTAACTCTAGAGTCTTTTTTCTTTTATTTTGAAAATTGAAATAAAATTAAAAGTGTAAGTGTTTATATTAGGGATTTCAACGAGTACTCGAGTATTCGAGTATCGCTCGGTAGTACCGAGTATCAAAACGATACTCGACTAATCGGTTTCCTGTAAAATATTGTTGTCTTCTTTAAAAAAAATATCTTTTTTCGGAAAATTAAATAGGCATCACTGATTAATCATACTAGTAAATAAAATATATTTTGTTTCGAATGCTTGTGCTAAATTGTCATTTAAGATGCCTCCGAAAATACGTGGGCTATACATAGGCTAACACTTTAAACTAAACATGTATGCAAGACTGTAATTTACAAAGTTGCAAAACCGACTGTCCCCAATAAAAGTTGACAAGAAAATGTTTCCAAATAAAAAAAAATCGTTGCATCCTATGGTGACCCTCAGTGAATAGTTAAACTTCTAATCTTTACTCCTTTGTAAACATTAAATGTGTTTTCTTAGCGATTACCAAACACTATTGTTTGATATGGTTTTTCCTTGTTATAATTTTTAAATAGGTGTTCATTAAATTATTTTGATTATATTATTGTTGGTTTTTTTTTTTTTTACTTAATTAGCACTTGTAGGTAAAGAACTATTAATTATTGTCCTAGATACATATGTAGATGGCTTTTCGTTCGTTGAACAATAACCACAGAATGTAAAATACGTATTTTTGTGTTTCCGGGTTGTAGATATATTACCGAGCGAGTACTCGATTAGTAATTGTACACCGAGATGACATCCCTAGTTTATATCATTAGTTGTTCATTTGATCAACTTCATTGGAATGATCAAAAGAATGTTTTGAATTTATTGAAAACGGTTGATCAATCGATATTAGCAATTTAGTTATCAAAATCTTTACTGTTTACAATAAACAAAAAAATAAATGTGAGCTATTGGTCACTAATGATGACCTCGCCTTAATTATAAACATTTGGTTACCAGGAAACTTTTACACGACATAGCACGCTAACATAAAGCGGAAGCTCCGACTGGTAGTTTTAAAAGAACATATTCTTTACATGGCCATTTGTGTAAGAATATACATGTATGAGTATTCTATTAACAGGAAATTGATGAGCGATAAATCTGAAAACGCATCACACTTTATATCATACTAACATAAAGTTCGTTACAAAATTTTCAGAAAGCTCTGAATTGTAGTGCCTGACAAATATGCAACGAAAAAAATCTAAATGGGTTGACGGACGAACAGAGGGATAGAATTCGAAAGTTCGGACGGACAGACGACATTGGAAAAATATGTACAATCCTCATTCGGAGCGTGTTATGTCTTTGAATCTTCTTGGTAATTAAATCCCACTTATATTAAATAAGGTTAGTAAAATTCATGAATATGTATGCTGATATTTTAACAGAGTGCCACAACATGTAGTCGTTTTGTATTTGTGATGGATTTTGTATTATTTATTAATTTGCATAAATGACCCATCATTTCCAAATTTTTATCAACTTTTATCAATTATACCTTTTTGAGAATTGTCTCTTTTCTTGTTCAAGTACTTTCACTTTCTGTGTATTTTTCTGAGACTCTGATCTATAAATATATATATATAATGTTGGTAAATAAGTTATAAATTGAAAATGTAATATGTTTTGGTAATTATTTAGATTATAATAGATATTTTTTGTGTTATAACTACATGGTGTAACATACATGTAGTTAAACGTTTAATGTATTTTGCAATGTAATATCAATCCTCAAAGGATCTGTAACATGTTGAAATTGACACCAAAAGTAGAAATTCAAATATGCAGGAAGTTTGAGTCTCTTTATGAATGAAAAGGTGCTAAATTTCAGTATGTTATGTTGAGCATGTACCTGGTCTTGACATCAGCACTTTCTTCCTGATTTCCCATTCTTTCTTCACTTTTCGTACGTCTACAAATGAAAGAGTACTAGTTTTATCGCAAATCTCTCTCGCTGTTTATATTTAGTGGAAAAGAAAGACACTCTGGAATTGTAGCTCATTTAGCCTAGATTAGGAACACGAAGTCGCTAGTAATTATTCTAATTAAAAGTAGAGCTGTTCGCACGGTGGTACTAATACACCCAACCCATCAATTCCTATGACATTTTGATATTTTTGGCTTTGAGCCATCCATTCATTTTATATAATCAATGCCTCCGTGTTAGTTTAACACATGGTCAATCTGACAGAATTATACGGACTCAGGAGTATTCTGACTTTGGTATATGACACATGACACACACAAATCCTATGATGCAATGGATGGGAGTATAAATTCTAAGCCCGTCTTCACTTGTTGATTTATTGAGATTTTTCTCATCGGAAAACAACCTTCCGGCGAAACAGATTTTATGAAAAAAGACTTCTTCACAAAACCCATTTAACAGTTCAGTTCAAACTAATAAACTAACTCTCTTCTCCTGTCGACCACATTTTCTGCTTGATTTCTTCTACAAAAATGGCAATCGTAGATACCAATAGCTTACTTGTAAACAACCACGCTGATTCCAAGAACAAATACGCTTAAGACAATACCATCAAAATGCCGGATTTTTTTTTTAAAGACAATATGTTTTTTTGATTTTGTTGAATATTCAACAGACAGTCCCTTTTTTAATTGTTCTAATGGTGCACACCTATCTTACATTAGTACATACATACCGACTTGTTTTGGACCTTAAGTGACGAGAATATTTGTTTGATCTGAGAATTTACCAATTTTGCGCTAATACCTGCATGTGATAACATTTTTGCATGGGTCTAGATTCGCATGGTTGTCGATGCATGCATAGTAGAAGACACACAATCTCGCTCTTTCTTGTTCTTGTGATTCCCTGTGGTGTTTTCTCTATGTTGATATATTCCAAATTGACATATATTTGTACAAGTTTAAACATATGTTCAAATTTGTGTTAGTTCAGTTCAAGAACGTTTTTAGCGTTCGTCTAAACTCTCCTGTCCGATAGATTTTTTACAAATGATAAAAAAAGTTTTAATTCTATTTTTTTTATATATCTAAATATATAATGTCAAAAAATCTTATCTATTTCATTTACCTAAAACTGAACATCTTTGTAAATCTTCCGCAAAAAGCACAAAAATTGGTCCAAATACAAATCATAATCTAAAATAAAAATGTAACTAGTTGTATATGGTTGAAACAGCAGCTAACTTAAATAAGCAAACTTAATGCAATATTTCCTTACGATCTTAACAAATCAACTATTTTAAAGTGTACTAGACCTCTGTTTGTTTGTTTATTATTTTGTTATTACATTTTTCCTTATAAAAAAGGTGCTTTTATTTGAATTATTCCTATATCACATATGTACCTATTGATGCTGAAATTCTGATAATTTAAAGTTTTTTTTCTATATTTTTGGCGCACTGGGTCCATACCGCTGCTTGTGGACTTCTAGTCCCTGAGGATATTATTAGCTCAGTAATCAATGCTTTGTGGCCGACATGGTTTATAACATACCTTTCTCAATCTCTCGATTGATAGATCTAACAAGAGTGCACACGCTGAAATGTCTCGCCTGCTTTACTAATCATTGATTTTATGTTGATAGTCCTAAATATAAAGCTTTACTACAAGTATCACATAAACTTAACATGATCCAAGAAAATGAGGTCAAGGTCAGATAAACCAAACCGGAAATACATGTACACCTTACAATCATTCAATACACCAAATATAGTTGACCTATTGCTTATAGTTTCTAAGAAACGGACTGAACCAGGAAAACTAAACACTGACCAATAAACCATGAAAATGAGGTCAAGATCAGATGAACCATGCCAGACAGACATGTACACCTTACAATCAATCTATGCATTAAATATAGTTGACCTATTGCGTATAGTATCTAAGAAACAAACTTAACCATGAAAACTAAACATTGACCAATGAACCATGAAAATGAGGTCAAGGTCAAATGATTCCTGTCATACAGATATATACACCTTACAATCATTCCATACAACAAATATAGTTGACCCATTGCTTATAGTTTAAGAAAAACAGACCAAAACACAAAACTTAACACTGAGCAATGAACCGTGAAAATGAGGTCAAGGTCAAATAAAACCTGCCAGACTGATATGTACATCGTAAAATATTTCCATACACCAAATATAGTCGACCTATTGCATATCGTATTAGAAAAAAAGACCAAAACACAAAAACTTAACTTTAACCACTGAACCATGAAAATGAGGTCAAGGTCAGATGAGACCTGCCAGTTGGACATGTACACCTTACAATCATTCCATACACCAAATATAGTAGACCTATTGCTTATAGTATCTGATATATGGACTTGACCACGAAAAACTTAACCTTATTCACTGATCCATGAAATGAGGTCAAGGCCAGATGAAAACTGTCTGGCAGGCATGAGGACCTTGCAAGGTACGCACATACTAAATATAGTTATCCTATTACTCAAAATAAGAGAGAAATTAACATTACAAAAAGTCTGAACTTTTTTTCAAGTAGTCACTGAACCATGAAAATGAGGTCAAGGGCAATGAACATATGACAGACGGAAACTTCATAACATAAGGCATCTATATACAAAGTATGAAGCATCCAGGTCTTCCACCTTCTAATATATAAAGTTTTTAAGTAGTTAGTTAACGCCATCCCTGCCGCCGCCGCCGGATCACTATCCCTATTTCGAGCTTTCTGCGACAGAAGTCGCAGGCTCGACAAAAAACATTTAGAAAAAAAGGTTTTAATTAATTTAATCAAAGTTGACCTTGAGTGGATTAGGCTATTCCATGTTTGCCCCTAGTGGTCATATAACGCCTCAAGTCTTCAAATATTTATATATTCTTGGCTTTCAAATTTTTCACAACAAATGTTCAGGTTTGAATTAACATGTTCTATAAAATTTTCAACAAAAGATTGTCTGCAAAATATTAGTATAAATTCCGCATAAAACAGTAATTGACCTCTGTATACATGTACCTTACGCATATTAAGGCTTATAACAATGGTGCGAATAGATGTTTTGCCATGAAAACCCGAAAAAAATTCATACAAAAATAGTGGGTGTATAATGTTACTCGGTTTTTAAGAAGGCCTGAAAGTTTCCTTCATATCTAGTCACTGGTCCAGAGATGAGTTGCATATACTAACGGACGGACGGACGAAAGAACAAACGGCAACAAGATCGGACACCATATATAAATCACCGATTCAATAATTTCCCATATTTGATGTTACTTACCATATATGCAATTTTAAAAGGTTTCAACGGCAGTGTAACTAAAAATACACATGATCCTTTGATATATCTATAGCATGTAGTAAGAAAAGGAGTATGTTCTTTTGGTATTTTCTTTTCCTTTTGGTTTTCTTGTTCCACCTTGTCAGAATTTTCTTTCTTTCCATACTTATTGTTGTCATTTTTATGTCGTTTCTTCGTGTGGCCTTCTCTTTTCTGAAAATTTGTAAATTAGATTAGAGTTGTAGTTACTAATCTGAAATATTTTAAGATTCAGTTTACCAAGAACAACAAGAGTTTATGTGTAATATTGTTGCGGTATATTTACCAAAAAAATATTATTTTGGGTTTTTACTTTTTGTTCTAATATGCACTATGCAGTCTTGGAAAACACGATTTTTTCGTTAGTTGTATATAATTTGCTTTAAACTAGCTTTCAGTAACTGCGAGTACTTTTATATCTGTACTTTTTAGTCTGAGTTTTTTTTTGTGTGCTTATAATATATTGTCTAAGTTATTTGCAACTGATCTTTACAGTTTGTTCTTATGTTGTTCTGTAACACCACTGTCCCGGGTTTTATAGCTGACTATACGGTATGGGGCTTTCTTTTTGTTGAAGGCTGTACGGTGAACTATAATTAATTTTATCTTCGTCATTTGAACTCTGGTGGATGGTTGTCTCATTGGCAATACTACCACACCACCTTATTTAATAAGGTTTGGACTGCAAATACATCTTACTCATTTAAATATTAAGGAAAACGTGTAACAATGTTCACGCCTATAAGATGTAGAAGTTATCGTCAGATCGTATGTTTTCGTACGCCATATGAATTCGTACTATGCATGCTTTTTCAATGGAAATTGTGACGTCACAATGCATTCTAAATAGCACGAAAACCCATAATACGAGGATATATCTACATTCCCAACTTTTTAGGGACCACAGGATTACTGGAATTATTGACAATTTTCGATTATTATTTTTTACAGCAATGCAGAGTTCCTGCACATCTATTGTACAGGTAAAAAGAACCACTATACTTCACTACCTCCATCTTTGCATTGATAAATAGTCCATACACGCAATTGATGGACATCTTAAATAAAAAAAAAGCTGCTCTGACTTATAAATGCTTAAGAATATAAACGTAAGATAATTACATGTACCAATGTGGTCGCTACATATTTCTTGAACAACCTCTTTCACGTATTGTACATAGAAGCATACACTCTCATTGACAAGATGTCTGTAATATTTGCGGTTGAGCAGCCAATGAATCAATCAGAATTTTGGTATCGATTGTGGTTCTTGGGTAGTCTCTGTATTTTATATATGAACTCGGAACGATTTAGAGTTTGACATATACTGAAACACTAGTCTATTGTTGGAGACAACATGTTACCTTTATATATACCCTCTAGCAATCCTTTCCATTTTTATTGTGGTCTCTTTCACCTATACCTTATATCTTGCTTCGCTACCAATGTCTAGTATATAATACTGGATACCTTTGATATTTGCAAGTGGTCAAAGTGCACACAAATTAACTCTGATCATGATTTTTGACGTGATGTGAACTACAAAATACACCGTCATAGTAAAGCCGATAAACAACATTACTTTTAAAAACAATTAAAGGCTTATAATAAAGAATAGAAATACCTTTGTCATTTTTCAACTTTCCTTTCGTTCTCTCAGATTTTACATCCGTGTTGCTTAATCTTCGACACGTCGATGATTTATATTTAAAACCCGATCAATTATACAATATTATGTACAGATATACACTAGTTTATCATACAACACTAAAATTACTGACACTGCAGATTTTGTTGATAAACTGTCAATATATCAATGAAATAAGAATCAATGGATGCTTTGGTGAAATGATATATACACACTTTTCATTTTCGGAATATTTAAAATGAAAGTGAAATAAATAATAAAATTATTTTAAGATACATTTTCAGTCGATATTGGGGCAGTAATTATATAATAGTAGTTATAATAGCATGCTCCGAGTTTATCTTCTGTCAGGTTAAAGACTTAAAAATTGGTATTGTGTCAAGGAAAAAGAGCAAAGTCAAACTAAGTTCAGATTAATGTGCATGTCAAAGTAGGTAAAAATTCTTTCTGTTGACTGAATTTTGTCTTGTGAACTTCAAATCAATGTTTATATTGATATCACAATACTATGTTATGTATGTAATATTTGCCGTTGGACGTTAACAATCAATAAAACGGCTTGCGTCGTAAAAAACTAAGAATGGTAAAAATGAAAAGTAATCAATGCAAAGTAAGAGGGTATCAAGGGGTAATCAAATCTATAATGAAAGGGGGACAAAAAAATATAAGCGGTGGTACAATGAGCATAGCAGACATGAAGGGATATTTGCAAACTTTCATGTTTGTTACTTCTATTTTCTGCTTGACAAACTTTTTTTAACGACCACAAAACAAGTTTTTTGTACCCATCAACCCCACCACCCACCCACACCATGGGGTCTGTTCAAACATAAGATATATATATATTATTTTGTGATCTACACAAATGATTGAATACTGCCTATACATTTACATTTTTCAGCTCTTCGAGATCTTTTATTTCCGGCTATTTTTTTTAATTTTGATTTTGATTTGCAAATGTTTTTGTATTTTCTTAAAAGTCCAGATCATGCATTTTAAAAAGTTTCCCACTATTCAAAACTTTAGTTATGTTCTGTTTTAACAATACATTATAATTAAATCAATGAATTCTAGTAAACAGTTGGTTTATCTATGGTAAATAATGATTATTTATATAAAAATCATTGATAGTCACTATGATCAAATGAAATAATGTATTGATGAGTCATTTTTAATACTTCTGAATCGTTCTCAAACTTCTCAGAATGGCGAAACATAGACGCGGGGCGATCACGACATATGAACACCAACAAATAGCAGGCTACCTGTAAAAATTTAAATGTCGAGATTTGTCCAAATTCCATCTGTCTTCTTTTATTGATAAATATACTCACTTGACCAGTTATGTTTTGCTGATATTTTTATACAGCTTCGCTGCTGGTGGATTGTTAGTCCCTGTGTGTATCATTAGACTACCTAACTTACTTCGCCACTGACAACATTTGTTTAATTATAAATTTAGAAATTATTTAGATACTTATAGGTATAGTTTATACAAGATGGTTTTGCTGTTCTGTTCATGTTCCTTTAGTGGCATATAGCTCATCAATTAAAACAACATCTCCGGCTTTCAAAATTTAGATTTTGAGTGTTCTAGTTGAAGGTTACAACTAACAAAACACCACAATATTCAAACTCATTCTTCGTGAAAACAGTAATCGGGTGGAACCATCTTAAAGACACTGTAGTTTGCGCATCGAGCTTTGAGAGCTTCAAAACTGATCTCATCAGTGGCGGTTCCGGGGGGGGGGGGGGGGTTCCGGGGATTGGAACCCCCTTTTTTGACGATCAATGCTTTTGAAAGGGGACATATGGTCGGGAACCCCCTTTATCCTGGGTTGGAACCCCCTTTTAAAAATGGCCGGATCCGCCCCTGCTCATGCCATCAATAAGTCGACAGTGCTCTCTCCACCGTTGTATCAAAGCCAGTATAAGTATCCACAACGTATTCATACAGATACAGAAGTGCTCTCTTCACCGTTGTATCAAAGCCAGTATAAGTATCCACAACGTATTCATACAGATACAGAAGTGCTCTCTTCACCGTTGTATCAAAGCCATTATAAGTAGCCACAACGTATTCATACAGATACAGAAGTGCTCTCTTGACCGTTGTATTAAAGCCAGTATAAGTATCCACAACGTATTCATACAGATACAGCAGTGCTCTCTTCACCGTTGTATCAAAGCCAGTATAAGTATCCACAACGTATTCATACAGATACAGCAGTGCTCTCTCTACCGTTGTATCAAAGCCAGTATAAGTATCCACAACGTATTCATACAGATACAGAAGTGCTCTCTTCACCGTTGTATCAAAGCCAGTATAAGTATCCACAACGTATTCATACAGATACAGAAGTGCTCTCTTCACCGTTGTATCACAGCCATTATAAGTATCCACAACGTATTCATACAGATACAGAAGTGCTCTCTTCACCGTTGTATCAAAGCCAGTATAAGTATCCACAACGTATTCATACAGATACAGCAGTGCTCTCTTCACCGTTGTATCAAAGCCAGTATAATTATCCACAACGTATTCATACAGATACAGAAGTGCTCTCTCTGCCGTTGTATCAAAGCCAGTATAAGTATCCACAACGTATTCATACAGATACAGAAGTGCTCTCTTCACCGTTGTATCAAAGCCAGTATAAGTATCTACAACGTATTCATACAGATACAGAAGTGCTCTCTTCACCGTTGTATCAAAGCCAGTATAAGTATCCACAACGTATTCATACAGATACAGAAGTGCTCTCTTCACCGTTGTATCAAAGCCAGTATAAGTATCCACAACGTATTCATACAGATACAGCAGTGCTCTCTTCACCGTTGTATCAAAGCCAGTATAAGTATCCATACAGATACAGAAGTGCTCTCTTCACCGTTGTATCAAAGCCAGTATAAGTATCCACAACGTATTCATACAGATACAGCAGTGCTCTCTCTACCGTTGTATCAAAGCCAGTATAAGTATCCACAACGTATTCATACAGATACGGAAGGTAAATCAAGAAAAGTGAAAAATTCATAGAATGTTCTTTTCATTGTCGAATTTTACTTTAAGGTTCATTAAAACCTTTTGGCTCATATGGCCGTATTTACACCACAAATTTACTCTGAATACAGACATATCTGTGCACTTGGAAAAAGTTTTAAGGCATGGCAGGAACTGGACAATTAAATTTTAAATGCATTTTTTGTTTCAGAAAATTATATTTTGAAATTCCTTTTTTATTGTTCGTTCCCACAGAAGGTGCCAAAATCAACTAAGTTTGGAACAATGTTTGAGATGTTCCCTTATGTAAATAATTGTAGTGAATTTGTTGATTAACTTGACAATAGATTGACAATAGATATCTGAACAACAATAGGTAATTTAAACTGTTTAAATGGGTGGACCATATCAAATGAAACTCAGGTGTTTGTTTATTTTATCACCTTCTACAGGCTTAAAAAAGGAAATATCATATTCCAGATAAGTTTTTAATTTTCTGAAAGATAGAATGCATTCAAATTTAATTTATCTAGTTCCTGTCATACCTTAAAACTTTTCAAGGTGCACAGGTTCACTGTGTATCATCGCCACCGGAAATTGGGTACTAACGAAGCGGAGAGAAATGGAAAAAAAAGTAAACAAGGTAAGAATTCATTCAATTTAAAGCATTTCTGCTTATTTGACGAGGGTACCGCTTAAGAAATGGTTTTCTGATATATAATTCTTTAAATTATTAGGCCGATAAGTACAAAATTAAGGCAATATTTTGTGTTATACTCCAAATCTTGCCACTTAGTACCTGAAAATTTCGAGGTCGATTGTCCTCTGTCGCCCCATTGGCACGATAATCAACTGTTTTTCATTATTTTTCCAGACACGTTTTTAGATTATGATAGTGTGACATCATATTGACTGAAATCTGTTGTCATAAAGATGATTTTAAAGAATATGGACCAAAACATTGTTTGTTTATTGTACGGCGAATTGCAGGACGTTGTACGGCGAATTGCAAAATAACAACTTTTGTCTGTACGGCGTCTTGCAATAAATTGTAATTTAAAGATGAAATTAATCACTGTTTAGATAATATCAAGTGACGAAATTTTGGCTGTATCAAAGCTTTACCGGCTTACAAATGTACAAAATAAACTACTTATCAAATATTATAAAATATATTCCGTTAATTTCGTTCAGAAGTCGTCGTTGCGTACCTCTATTTGACTTTGTGTTTTTAAAGACAAAAAAGTTTTTTTCAACCATATTATCCAAAATACATTCATATATCGTTATACTACTAACGATTGTTGTCTTATTTGTTGTCAGGGTGAAATTTTGTAAGTTCAATAAAAAAAACCGACCATTCATCTTTTGTTGGCGCTGTTTTTTTTTTTAAATATAAACAGTGGAGATGTTGTATAATTGCAAATAAGATAACTATCCACCAGGGTCAAATAAAGTGTATGTAAGCAATTATATGCTATCGTTTGGCCTTCAACAACGAAAAATCGTACCTTACAGTCGGCTATAAAAAGCCCCGACATGAAAATTGTGGAAGGATTCAACAAGAAAACTAACGGCCTAACTCATAACAAAACAATTAACGAAAAATAACAAATATGATAGAGATGAACCAACGACAACCACCAAACTACAGGCTCGTGGCTTCGGACAGACTCATAAAGAATGTGCTGGGTTAAATAGATATAGGAAGATGTGGTATGAGTGCAAATGAGACAACTCTCCATCCAAGTCACAATTTATAAAAGTAAACCATTATAGGTCAAGGTACGGTCTTCAACATTGTTTATTGTTTATTTTTTAAATTTCTGAAATGAATAATTTGTTAAAAGAAAAGTGAAGAAAATACTTTGTTTTCATTGAAAATTAGGAGAAATAAATCATGAATTGTGTTTCGAATTAAATTTCTTGTTTCTTATTGAAAATAAAATTGTATTTTTTTTAGTTTCAGTAAATTCAATCAATCTTTTTATTTACAGGGAAAAAATAATAAAAGACTGTTGCTAAGGCTGTTTGGCCTAAACTTAAATGAGTAGATGGAGGGGTAGTGAAAAGGAGTGTATTCGTCCGAATTTTCATTGTTATCAAAGCCAGTATAAGTATCCACAACGTATTCATACAGATAC